ATAAGTAATTTATAGATTAATAAGTATTGTTATATGCTTAGAGATTACTTCATAAGTAATTTATAGATTAATAAGTATTGTTATATGCTAACAGTGGTAACTAACAAAAGGATTATACTCATGAGCTGGGATCCAAACCTCCCTTTTCCTAGGTGCACAGTATTGGTGAAGATGACCTAACATGTTTTAGCATCAGCCCACTAAAGATCTTGGGGATATTGAGTTCAGTCCTCTTGGACAATCTACTTGCACTTGTTTCTGCTTTTCCCGATTCAGTCCCTGCTACCAAAATGAAATATCCATTACATCTTCACATGTACCATCCTGCCTCCTGACTTACTTATTTTGTCATTAAATAGCCATATTCTGTTAATAATAGGACATTGTACTATATGTGTTCTTATCTTTATACATAGAACATACAGTCTTGTTTTATAGAACTTTATTTTGTTTTTGTTTTTTGTACCGGGAATCGAACTCGGGACCTTGCACTTGTGAGGCAGGCGCCAGAACCACTGACCTAAATCCCTGGCCCTATAGAACTTTAATATGAAGAGCTAGGAAGTATGATGTACTGATGGAGTTTTAAAAATAGATGCACTTTAAAGTTGGATGTGGTGGCACATCCTTTTAATCCTAGCACCCAGAAGGCTGAGGCAGGATTGCCATGAGTTCAAGCTCATTCTGGGCTACATAGTGAATTCAAGGCCAACCTAAACTACACAGTGATATCCTGTCTCAAAAAAGGGCCAGGGATTTAGCTCAGTGGCACCGTGCCTACCTCGTAAGCCCAAGGTCCTTAGTTTGATCCCCGGTACCAAAAAAAAAAAACAGTATGAGCTCAGATATAACCAACTATATTTTTCTAAGACAACTCCCAATATAGGTAATATAAACAGGTTGTAAAAATATTTGTATACTAATCATTGGACATCTCCATATTTATGCGGAAAGTTTTAAGATGTACTTCACATGGACACTTTATGAAACCGTTTCTTACGAAACTACATGGCTGCATCATATAGTATAGATTTTTCTAAGGAACTATATGTTTTATACAGCACCTTCACCATTTTACATTTTCAATTGAAATGTACAAAATTTAAATTTTTAAACACCTGCCATCACTTATCTTTTAAAAATACATTTGTGTTGGGGCTGGGGATTTAGCTCAGTGGCACCACACCTGCCTCGCAAGCACAAGGACCCAAGTTTGATCCCCAGTACCAAAAAAAAAAATTTGTGTTGGTACCTGTTAATTTTGCAAAATACTGAGTTTCAGTGTGATATTTTCATATATGTTTATAATACATTTTAGTTATTTCCATCCCATTAGCCTCACATAAACTCCTTATTCCTTTTTTGATTAATGTTAATCTCACTTCTACTTTCATGCTTTTTTTTTTTAAAGATTCCAATATTAGAGAAAGCATCCAATACTTATCTTTCTGAATGTGGCTTATCTCACTTAACATGATCTCCAGTTCCATCTGTTTACCTGCACATGACAAAATTTCATACTGTATGGACAAATAATGCTCCATTGTGTACACAAACCACATTTTGTTTATCCATTCATCTACTGATACGAACCTCAGCTGTTTCCATATCTTGGCTATTGTGAATTATGCTGCAGTAAACATGGATGTAAGTCATATGGTAGTTCTGTTTTTAGGTTTTGGGTTTTTGTTTTTTTCTCTTTTTTGGAACTAGGCATTGAACCCAGGGTCTTCTCACTGAGCTACATCCTCAGCCGTTTTAAAATTTTGTCAGAGGGTCTCATTAAGTTGCCTAGGCAAGACTCAAACTTGCCATGCACCTTCTTGCCTCAGCTGCTGGAATTACAGGCATGCTGTAACACCACACCACACC